ATACAATTACATACATACATAAACACTCACGCCTGTTACCCAGAGGGGTAGGCAGAGACTACGGACTTCCATCTGGCGCGATCCTGACACACCTCTCTCGCCTCTTTTACATCCATATATCTACGCATACACGCTCGTCGGTTAAGGGTACTCCTAATCTGGCCCATTTTTAATGTATCGCCGATTTGGTCGATAAACCTTCGTCTAGGGCGTCCCTTCTCGACCCTGCCGTTCACTTCCGCAACATACATTTGCTTTGTCACTCTTTCCTCGTTCATTCTTTCTACATGACCAAACCACCGAAGCATTCCTTTCTTAATCCTTGTCACAACGTCATCTTGCAAACCACACTTTTCTCTTATCACACTATTTCTCACCCTGTCATTCAGATTCAGCCCTAGCATACTCCTTAAGGAACGCATTTCTACAGCATTTATTCTACTCTCATGCTTCTTCTGCCAGACCCAACTTTCACTACCATACATTAAAGTAGGGACTAACACAGCATTATGAATTGCCATACGTGCCTTAGTTGACACATTCTGACTCCTCATAATAGCGTGTAGAGCCCCATTCACTCTATTTCCTGCGTTCACTCGTCGTTCTATATCCTTATCATATCTACCATCCCTGCTAAATAAACATCCCAAATATACAAACTCATCCACTTGCTCAATCAACTCCCCTTCTATTCTTATTTCACATAAAGTTTTACTTTCTTCTCTTTCAAAAACCATCACTTTCGTCTTACTTGCGTTCACTTTCATACCCCTTTCTTTCAATGACCAATTCATTAAAGTAACCATCATTTGCAACTCGGCCGCCGACGATGCAAATATGACTTGATCATCGGCGTACAAAAGGCATTTGACGGTTGACTCACCCATTCTCAACCCACATTCTTCAACTTTCAAAGTTTGCAAACAACTGTCCATAAATAAGTTAAACAGCCACGGGGAAGCCACACATCCCTGTCTGACACCTTTATGAATGCCAAACCAGTCCGAGTAGACCCCGTTGATCCTGACACAAGCACTAGAGTCCCTATAAAGAGATCTTAATGCCTGTATCAAGCCAGCGCTCAACCCAAATGAGTTCAGTGTTTGCCATAACACATTCCTGTCCACTCTGTCATAAGCCTTTTCCAAGTCCATGAACGCACAAAAAACTTTCTGGTTTTTAGCCAAAAACTTCTCCGCTATCATGCGCATGGAAAAGACTTGATCCGTACACCCCATCCCCTTTCTAAATCCAGCTTGCACATCCCAAATTTTTCCATCAGTTTCTTCCATAACTCTTTCAATTAACACCTTAGCATACAGTTTACCCACAATGCTAAGCAAGCTGATACCACGGTAGTTTTTACAGTCCTGCTGCGACCCCTTTCCCTTATATATTGGGACTATAACGGCTTTGCACCAGTCTTCCGGTACCCGTTTCAGTTCCCAACACAAATTAAACAAGGTGTGCAGCAGGCCTGCAACCACACCCTCACCAGCCCTCAGCATTTCGAGTGATACTCTATCATATCCGGCTGCCTTACCTGCTTTCATGCTTTTCATTGCTTTCATTATTTCATCTACACTTATCTCCCTACCTCTCTCCACTTCTTCCGGAATTTCTATTTCACTTATTCCAGACGACTCTTCACTCTTAAACACGCTTTCAAAGTATTCCTTCCATCTCTTTAAATTCGAAACTTCATCATTCAGCATGCAGCCATTCTCGTCTCGTATAGCATTTATTCTAGGCTGTTTTGAATTTCCCCTGGCAGTTCTTACGAGCTTCCAGAACATTTTTATATTTGCCTGGAAGTTATCAGATATCCTTCTATCATTCTTATCTATCCTTTCTTGCTTTTTCCTTTCAACAACTTCTTTTACTCTCTTATTTATACGTCTAAAGTCTGCCTTTTTTCTTTCAATCTCATCATTCATACCGCCAGAATTACCAGCTTTAGTTGCTAGTAAATCTAGCCATGCTCTCTTCTTTGCTTCAACTTCCATCCGTACCTCATCATCCCACCACAACGTATTACTTTTCCTTTCATTCGTTCTCTTACTTACACCGCATACTTCGGTGGCTGCATCCACCAAAACTTTCTTAATATTATTCCATACATTCTTCAATTCTAAATCATTCATACATAATTCATTCAACCCACTTATATTTTCCCTCAATCTGCATTTATACTTCTCTTTCACACCTTCATCTTGTAACCTCTCTATTCTTATACGCTGTAACGCAGTGGTAGACACCGATGTCCGATGCCGCCAACGTCTGAATAGACCATTAATTCGACATAAGACCAAGTAATGATCCGTCCCTACGTTGGACCCCCGGTAAACCCTTGTATCTACCACTGCGCTCCTCATTCTTTCATCCACAATTATAAAATCTATCATGCTTCTATCATCCCCTCTTTCCCATGTATACATGTGAATCCTCTTATGGCGAAAGAAAGTGTTCGCCACACAAAGATTCTTTTCCACACATACGGTGAGGAGGTCTTCACCATTCTCATTTATTCTTTCATCGCCAAACGTTCCTAATATCCTTTCATAACCAGACCTCTTCACCCCAACCCTTCCATTAAAATCTCCTAACATAATAATATTTTCATTTTTCTTACATTTCATCAACACCAGCCTTACCATGTCCCAAAACTGCTCTCGGATATAAGTGGGCTTAAACATATCTGGGGCGTACACCCCTAGCACAAACAACTTCTTTAAGCCCACTTTCATTCGCATCCACAGCAGCCTTGGGCTAACACATTCATACTCTTTCACACATTGACCCATTCTTTCTGAAAGGATGACACCGACTCCTTGGCATGCCCGCTCGGTCTCGTCTACTCCAGACCAGTAAGCGGTATACATGCCATGTGCAGTGACATCTCTTCCCTTTCGTTTCGTCTCGTTTACACATAACACATCTATTCCTCTATCATTCATCATTTCGCATACTTCATCCATCTTATCATTCATTGCTCCACATACATTCAGCGTGGCCAGACGGGCCTCCGCAATAATTTTATATTGAACACAATTAGTGTTCAATATAAAATTATATTCGGTATAGACGGTAATTATTAAATGTGGCATACCATGGATACGTTGGTTCTATACTGAGATATGGACTGATTCTGTGGGGAAATTCGACACACATTTCTCGTGTCTTTATACTACAGAAGAAATGTATACGATCTATATGCGGTGTCGGTCAAATGGAATCATGTAGACCTTTCTTTAAGAAGTTAAAAATCCTTCCATTACCTTCCCTATATATATATGAAATTTTAATATTGACCAAAAAAAATGCTAACCAGTTCACAAAACAACATAATAATTGTGGTGGTATGAGAAGGTACCCGTGGAAGTTATCTGTACCCCAGGCAGCCACAACTTGTTTTACTAGAAATAGTTATAGCATGTGCGTTCGATTATTTAATTTACTTCCAAACCATATTCAAAACTTGACATTTAATCAGTTTAAAAAAGTTATTTTCGGGACTCTCATTGAAAACTGTTTTTATGACGTAAATGAATTTATTAAATTCTGCCGTGACGGTCACCTCAAGCGAATTGTTGTTATTTGAAATTTTAAATTGACAAATGAATTAGAATTTGTAAGATTGACATTATGCTAGTTTGACATTATGCATTATGACATGACCATGCCTGTATATTTTTTATTATTTTTTTCTCTTTTTACATAATAAATTTATTGACATTATATTGCTTTATTAAATTTTGATATGAAACGTTACTGTAATTTTGTAATTTTAATTATTCAATTATTGCATGTCGACTTAATATTTGCACACTGATAAATCGGTAAAACATGCATGTTCACACTATATTATAAGACCTAAAAATGTACCATGTTTTATGCAAATAAATATTTTATTATTATTATGGGGTATTTGTATAGTTTTCTCATCTGGTTGGGCTGTATAAATATATAATTGTAAATGAAAATGATAAACTTACATAAATATCAATAAAATAAAATAAATACATAAAAATTACATAAATATATAAAAACCCAACCAGATGGAAGCCCTCGGCAGGGGAGACCAAACGGCCGAGGGTTAGGGAGAAAGGGAAAGAAACCGGCGGACGATGCGGGCGGTATCGAGGAGCACCGCCTTCTGCATTTGAGCTTGGAGCGATCCGTCACGGAGTCCCAGTCGACCCGAGATGACCCGAGAGGCTGACTGGGATTAACCCGTTCGCAGAGACGACCACAGGAATAATTTCGGCCGGCAGACCACCCCACATGTCGGTCACCTCGTGAGCCAGGTCCGGATATTTTGTCAACTTATCTGTTTCGGCTTTCACGAGGTTCTCGTCATAAGGAATGGTAATGTCGACCAAAAATATCCTTGACTGTGCCCGGTCCATCAGCACAATATCAGGCTTATTCGCAAGAATAGTCCTGTCCGTGATGATGGCCCGGTCCCAGTAGAGCCTGGCGCGGTCATTTTCGAGCACGGCTTCCGGCAAGTAATTATAATATGGCAGTTTCCGATCCACGAGACCGTATTTCAGAGCGAGCTCCTGGTGTAAAATCCTGGCTACTAGGTTGTGTCTGTGCAAATACTCAGAGTTAGAAAGCGCCGAACAACCGGAGATGACATGCCTAAGTGACTCACCGGGATGGCGACAAGCTCGACAGATGTCGACGGCGCCATCCTTTAGGATGTATTTCCGATAATTGTTGGTCTTAATAACCTGATCCTGTATCGCACAGACAAAACCCTCGGTTTCCCCAAAGAGGTCACCGAAACGTAGCCAGTGGAGAGAGGCGACTGTGTCTACGCAAGGCTCATGTAGAGCCTTGTAGAACCTCCCGTGGAGCTCCTTCTCCTTCCATACGGTCTCCCGGTCGGAAATGCTCTGTACTGCCGGGTCTTGCCATTGCTCGTTGGCTAAGGATAGAGAGGTAAGTCCTTTATCACAAGAAATAACGTCCCTATAGAATGGATCATCCGCTCACGTCAGAAAGTAATTACGGAGGCTGCACACTTCGCGATTATGCATGGTAAGCGCGCTTAAAAAGCCGCGCCCACCATGCTTCCGCGGCAAGTGCAGCCTCATTACTGACGATCTCGGATGATGCATCCTGTGGGACGTCATTATAGTGCGGACTTTTCTGTCCAGAGCGTTCAGTTCGGTCTGAGTCCACCTGAGCATGCCAAAGGTATACATGAGAACAGGCATGATCCAACCGTTATATGCATGTGCCTTATTAACGCCCGACAAAAGACTGTTAAGCACTTTTGTCAAGCGTGCATAAAACACACCGTAAACTGACCGTTTCATGTCCGCCTCATCGATACCTATGTTCTGTGACATACCCAGGTATCGGTATGTTTCAGCCTCGGATAGGGTCTTTATGTTGATGGGCATAGATAAGTCTATGCCCTCAGAGTTAGCAACCCTACCCCTTTCGACATGGAGGACCGCACACTTATCCGTCCCCAGCTCCATTCTAATAGAATTGCTAAAATCACAAGTGATGTTTAGCAATTCCATAAGATGAGAGCGACTGGAGGCGTATAACTTGAGATCATCCATATAGAAAAGGTGGGTCACTTTTGTACCTCCTCTCCGAAGCTGAAATCCCCTCCCGGAACCCTCCAGTAAGGTACTAAGAGGGTTCAGAGAGAGGCAGAACCAGATTGGACTCAGACAATCGCCCTGGAAGATACCCCTTCTTATCCTTATGTGGTTCTCCGCAGCCGGCATCCGCTCGCCTAGATGACAAAGGATCGTACTCCACTGCCCCATACACTGCCCGAGGAAGTCTCGAACTGTACAGTCAACCTTGTACAGCTCGAGGACCCTCTTCAGCCATGTATGAGGCACCGAGTCGAATGCCTTTTTGTAGTCTATCCAGGCGGCGGAGAGGTTCCGACGGTTGCGTTTAACCACCTTGCCAATGACCGCGTCAATGAGGAGTGGTTCCTTGGTTCCACGACCGCCGCCCCGACATCCATTTTGAGCGCGCGACATCACCTGATTTGAGTTCAGGTGACGAGTGATTCTCGCGCTCAAAATGGATGTCAGTGGCTTGTATATGGTAGGTAGACACGTTATGGGGCGGTATTTGCTCGGGTCTGTGGAATCTCGGTCTTTAGGAACCAAATGAGTGATCCCAGTAGTGAAGAGGCTCGGGAGCGACTTTTGGTCGAGAGCCTCTTGAAACTGTCGGGCGAGAACAGCGTGACACACCACGAACCCCTTCAGCCAGTAGTGATGCAGTCTGTCGAGTCCCGGACTTTTCCAGTTCGGGGCCCTACGGACCGCCTCAGCTACGTCATCCGGCGTAATGATGACGGGGTCCATGGGCGTAACATTCGCACACTGACTCGCCACAACTTCCGTCCAAGGGCCCTCACTGTGGTTTACGGGCTCTGACCACAGGCCGCGCCAGAATGCGATAGTGTCGGCCTGATTCGGTGCTGGGCCCGTTCCACGTACCATTGGTCGCTCCAATGATTCATAGGGCCTCTTCTGATCACTCTGGAAGAGACGATTCTGGTTGAACCGTGTCGACCTCTCGGTATATCGCCGAATCCGCTTCCCCCAAGCAGCGATTCTCTGCTTCAGGTCGTCTATGCGCTCCGTCAGTTTTTGCGTTATATCCGGCTGGGACAAACTGATATTTGTCCCAGCAAACGCTATCCTGACGGTGCGCACAATTCTCGGCCTATTATTGCCCGACCTGAAGCTTATCAGCCTGCCGATGAGGGCCTTTGCCTTTGCGATACGGTCCTCAATCCTTCTTCTCCAGGCTGGGATGGCACTACTTTGTCTAGTAGCGCGTCCAGCCTTGGAAAGTTTGGCGCCAATAATACGGCGAACTGCCAGTGCGGCGCCAAAAAGAATTGAGTCCGTCTCGCAAAGGTCCCGGCTGGCTTCCAAATAGGTTACCAGCATTGGGTTGAGAGCCCTCACGACAGCCCGATTCCGCTTGCTTAGGGGTATACGGGGAAGTCGCGGTCGATTCTCGAGAGGCGCTGCGCGTTTCCCTAATCGCCTCTTCCACTATGCTCCTCATTTGCTCTAGTTCTGGGGCGACTATTCCATCGTCGCCTGAGTCAACTACAAGGAGATCTACGGCGGCATCTACATGTGCGGGTTGCTCTGCAACTCGTAGAGCTGCATCTCCTGTCGTAGCATTTTCATTCGACAAAGGAATAGCCTCACGTCGTAGCCGTTCGAGTTCGGCGTCATCAAATATTTTTGAGCGCATGATGTACCGAACTCGGTCTGCCAGGTTTTGCTCGGTAACGGTAATAGATGGCTCCAGCTCAGCAAATAGTCGGTGCATCCTAGCCCGATACCCAAAACCTCCAATTTCTCTCCCTTTCGCCCCAAAATACGCCCGCAATGCATTTTTATTCATTTGCATTGACCAACGCATGCGGCGTACTCCACCAGTGGCGGGTGCTGATTGCTGGACCAACGAAGACCCTGCCAACACCAAGCCAGCTGGTGGGGATGATGGATGCGAGGGGCTGCTGGGTGATCGTGGAGCACCTCGCGGTCGACTGGCGGTTCGCATGCTGCCGCGTCCAGCGCCAGCTCCAGACGCGCCCTGGCGACCTCCAGGCAGCGGCCCTTTGCGCGTATTTCTTAAATCCATCATCCATGAATTGGGCGTCAGTTAACGGGAGACGCCCAGACCCGGCACCGTTTCATGGTGAGGCCATGTGCACAATCGGGCCTTTGCACCTCCAATTTTGTCGAGGCACGGCGCTAACACCTCTTGGCAAGGTGCTGACTGACTGCGCTGACGCAGCAGTTTTGTCACATAACCGTTACGTCAGCGGGCGATGGGGTCGTCACTTCCCTACGCCTGGCAAGGTGCTGACTGACTGCGCTGACGCAGTAGTTTTGTCACATAACCGTTACGTCAGCGGGCGATGGGATCGTCACTTCCCTACGCCTGCAAGGTGCTGACTGACTGCGCTGACGCAGCAGTTTTGTCACATAACCGTTACGTCAGTGGGCGATGGGGTCGTCACTTCCCTATTAATTATTAAAACGGGATCCGTTTTAATAATAATAATAATTATTATTATTATTAAAACGGGACGTATGGTCACTTTAGCTATAACCCGGCGACGGCTCCGTGGCGCAGTGGCTTAGCAATCAGTTGTTGCGCTGGGGGCCGCGGGTTCGAATCCCGCACGGAACAAGTATTTGTAAGGCCTACAAATAATTGTTCCGGGTCTGGATGTTTGTCCTTGTGCAATTTATGTTTGTAAACTGCCTCCATGATACAGGAGAAAATCCTAGTGTGGGGGTAACGTTTTTTTACAATTGAAATTGAAAGATTGAACCCTTATACTTCTTGTTGATTTTTGTATTATCTTTATTAAAGTTACCCTTATGTATAAATAAATATAATTACGTATGTAGAAATAAAATTGATTTTCATCCTCATCAATCATTGGGGTGAGGATAATGTCTGCCAGCATAAGTAATAAGCAGGCTAAGTTACAAGGTACTCAGTTCAAAAATTAGTAGGTAGGTATGTTACTTTTCAATACGTGACACGTAAAAATTAACAATAATCAAAACCATATCTGCGAAATATCCTATTTATTTATTTATTTTTTATTGCACCAAATATTTGTACAAAAGCCGAGCTATCTATTTATTTACCTATAGTGAATAGGTATCTTTTAAACTCACAATTTTCAATGCTTCATTTTTAATATATAATTAATTATAAAATTTCATAATTAGATAATATATGAAAATACATAATTCTAATATAATGCAACTAATATATACCGAATAAAAAAAATTAAAATACATTTATCTTTGTACGCTGTGTGTATTTCCATAAAATAGTTTATTGATGTTGAAAAAATAATACTACGTTCGTACAATAAATATAATTACTACTACTACTACTAATAGGTGGCGTCTTACATATTTCTTACGCAATAATATATTGTAGCGAGCGGCGCGCCGGTCAAATGCTCAAGGTCGTTCGCATGGAGTAGCCCCTTAAGCGTATAACGATAGAGGACAGATAAAAATAAATTGTTCCTTCGAGTACAGTTATGGTCAAACAACCAAATTGGTCCTTCGGGTTTTTAGATCTGAGAAATACTTAAATCAAAGAGAGTATCAATCCAAATGAGTTGTTAGACGGAAACATCTTTAGCTGTTGATGGAAAATGATTATCCGTAGCCGAAAAAGGTTTTATTTTAATTTTATAGAAAGTTAACCAACGGATGACTAGTCTGACTTGGCAATGATCCAGGCATATAGTTTGAAGTCCCCACGAACGATGGAGAAAGTAAGGATCTCTAGTGGCATGGAGTCTTGCATGACCCCATTAGATGGAGTGATGACCTGATGAAACATGCTGGGAGTTGCCTGGTGGATACTCTTACTTGCTAACACGGCAAGCTTTCGTTCATGGATTAATGAATTTAACATTTTATTGCATAATATATTAATTAAAATGATTGAGCAACCCAATTTAATATCGGAAAACTAAAACTAATATCGGAAAATTGTGGAAGAAAATAAGTGTTGCTACGTTGGTGCTTTTTACAATTTGCAATAAAAATGTACATATTCAGAAGTAATTGCATGTATTATTTATTTTGTAAATATTTTATATTATTAGATACCGTTTATAATAAATTGTATTATGAAAATGTTGTTTTTTTCCTCACATAATGATACCTCAATATTAATGTCTTGCTCTGCCGCTTGGGTAAGGAGTTGAGGAATACTTGACTTGGTTACTCTGTACTGTAACTGATTTGAATAGTAAGGTACGTTGGGGTAATACCGGACGGATTTTCGAATAGTTGGAAGAATCTGCCAAAAACTTTAATTTCTCGACATTCGTATACGTCAGATTTATGGAACCTGGAGCAAACCGTTAATCGTTAAACGTAGTTTAGCTCTGAGAATCTTTTGCTTGTGTAAACTCAACGGTTTCTGCTTTAAAGGTGTGCGAAAACTAGACATACTTTTTTATATGCATAATGAAAAATTGGCCATTAAGGGGTAAGATCGGACTTAAATTTAAAACCACTTCTACTGCTTAGAGAAAAAAGTTTATAAAAGAGATTTGTCTTATATTTAACGTTCAAAAACATATTTCAATATGATCTATAAATTACTAGAAACATAAATGTTCCAAACGATTTTCTCTTTTTTTGTTTTTTGCTATCCGATCTTATCCCTGATATAATGAAATTGTAGTTTTATGTTTCTCAAACTTTGTTATGACATAAGATGGAATTACTCAATATAAGAGAAAGATCGGATGCATTTGATTTTATATGGGAAAAAAAAATAACAGTAAGGACTGGCGAAATGCCCTGGGATAATGCAGGAGTTAAGGAAGATATAAATATTTTAACAAAGCGGCATTTATTATTATAAATTATTTTTTAAATGATTATTATAAATTACATTTTGATTTGTAATAGAGGATAGATATAGATGTCTATGGGCCGCAGTAATCACTTAACATCAGGTGGACTGTGTGCTCCTTTGTCACCCTTATCCTATAAAAAAAATGTATTTTAATGTGTACTTAAAAGTAATAAAACCATCGTATTGTTTTATTACTTCTAAATATACAGACTTGCTAACGAGACTGAGTCCCATAGTCACTTGAGTAATCAACGAAAAAATATACACGACCAATGAAAGTTTAACAACCACTGCCATATTTGTAACAGGCAAAGATCGGATAATATTCATCCGATCTTCACTCACGAGGGGAAACATCGGATCTCGGCCTACAGCGATCTTACCCCTGCATGGACCAGCTTTATTTAGCTATAACTTCATAAAAATTAGTATCCACACAAAATAATAACAAAAGAAGCCATATTCTCGATAAAAATCGTAAATAAAAGTGATAGGGAAAGATCGGATGGACAAAAATAATACAAAAATTACATTGTTTTATAAAATGCCACGCAGCACAGGTCCCACTTGCCGGAGTGACTGGCGCGAACTGAGGGTCGGGGCAGGATGAAATGGCGTCGTGTAGCATATTGTTAGCTTTTCAAAATATAGCATAATTCGCCGGGAATTTGAATCCTACGGTCTTGCCCCATCACCGATCTTACCCCAACGTACCTTACAGGATCAGAAGGGCTGGAACCCAGAGCCAGTTTAAAAAATAATAATAGTAGTGACGTTTGACGCTAGGCAGAATAAAGTTACGCCTAGACGGAAGACTTGAAAAAAGTCTGACTATATGATGTCTGAGGCTCTTTAATGAGGGCTAATAATGTTCCACTCCCCAGATGTCGCTAGTTTTGACTGAGGTAAAGTTTTATGTTACACA